ATGCAACTATCGCAGAAGAGCTACAATGTTCGACTCCGGAGATATCGCACGTCGTGATCTTATCTCGGCAAGTTCAAATTTTTGATCAATCTCTTCACCAGTTTAGGGAGAAATCCCTTTTTCACATCATAATGCAGTAGGGGGGCTCAAGTTTGAATCTCCTCGAAAAAAATTGGAGCATTCCGCATAGGGCTGAAACAAGTATAGTCACGTGCATGTGTGATATGAGCATGCGCGATTTTGTAGTCGAGAGTCCTTTTGTCAGTCTTCTTGTTTGTCTCTGTCAGAGTAGTTTGCTATTCCGTTTTGTCAATATAAATAATGTAATAAACAAGTCTTGTCCTTTGTGTCCTGCGTCCCGGGGAACGAAATGGCTATGATTCCGTAACAGCACAATTGAAATATGAAGATGGAGAGAACTGATAATTGCATATGGTACCATGACTGGAAAAGACACGGTTAAAGGTTGAGCGAAAAGTGGTAGTAGAGGGAGGGGGAGGGGAGGTGTGGGGGGGGGGGGGGGCGGAGCAGTCAGTACAGTCAGCTGGTTTGCTGACCGGGATCGAGAGATCACAACTGGCATGTGGCCCACTCCCACTTGCTGTGCCACAAGTGGTTGTCGACATTTTTTCTTGAAGATTTGCATACCTCTGCAAGAAGTGTGAGACTGCACAAGGATAGGCGGGACTTGATTCCATGTTGCGATGTACCGGTATTTGCCTTTCAGGTAAAATTTTCTTTGGACTTTGGCCAGGCTGCCAGTCAGAGCTACATTTCCGTGCAGTCTAGGGTTGCAATCTCTCATGTTCAACATACACGACTGCACTTTCATAATATTTGTCCAGGTTGCTGGTGTATCCATATTATGTTCTGCCTGTTGTACGCATTGCCCTTTTGCACTCGCGTGTGTACGCATACTAGTACACACATGCATCACGGTTTTCTGCCTGTCCTTTGCTCTGGACAAGAAGTCTTTTCTCTTTGTCTTCTGAAAGATAAGTCACAAACCCTACCTCGTGTGTTTGCGTTTGTTGACACAACATGGCGCAGTGAACATCTTACTTTACCTGTAGTCTTAGTATACTAGTAGTTCTTTTGCAGTTGTAGAGTAGCCCACCTGTAGTGTTGCTCTCTGCCCGTTTTCGTTTCGCTTCGAAAATTGTCCGTTTCGAAGTTCTAGAATTTTTTCATAGCCTTGTAGTACGATATCGATAGTTGTGATTTCGCCATGGCGGATGGTGCTAAGTCACAGCCGGACATCAACCAACTGGTGCAGCTGATCCAAGCTCAAGTGCAAGCATCTGCCCAGCGCGATGCGCAGCTCCAAACTCTGTTGCAGCCAATGTCGCAAGGATCATCAAGCAGCACCAGTGGACCTGCTTCGTCTGCTCCTGCTCCATCCACCAAGCCCGTCGCTGTGGATCGGCCCATTTTGTTGTCGTCGGCGAATCTAGCTGAATTTGTGTCGTGGAGCGAGGCCTGGGAGGACAGCTCCCGGTGTCAGCTGTTGTCAGCGCAGCCCCGCGAGACAAGGATGGCCGCGTTTAGGCAGGCCTTGGATGTGGACCTGAGACGTTTCGTGCGTGAAGGTGTGATTGTGGTGCCAAACACCCATGATGTCCCGGAGGCCATGGTTGAACTACGCAAGTTCATCCGGCGCCAGCGCAACCCCCTGCTGGACAGGATTGAATTTTACCGCCGTGCCCAGCAACCTGGAGAGACGTTCGACGCGTGGTACACATCCTTGAGGGAGTTGTTTCATGCGTGCAACTTCTCAGGTTTGGATGTCTGTTCGACATGCTCAGGACGTATGTGTCAAACCTGCCAGCAGTCACTCCAGGCTAACACGGATGAAATTCTGCGAGACCGCATTGTTACCGGCATCTGTGGTAAAACACTTCACTTTATACTTGTACAATCATGCACACACTGTCGCGGACAGCTGGCCAGCAGCTGCCGCGACAACTTCAAGATGGGAGAGAGAACTGGTTCGTTGTCACTTCTTTCACCACATAAAGAACACTGCTTGGAGAGAGAAAACTACCGAGAGAAGGACACGAAGCACTACAACAGAGCGCTCCGAAAAAGGATTCGCTCGCACGGCAGCGTACGCATGCCGTGCCATGCCAGCATACTGTGTGCAAAAATGTGAAACCAAAAATAGATTATCATGATTTTGCTGCGTGCAAAAGCCAGCCAGTTTGGGAAGTGCATCGTACGCGCGTAGCAATCCTGCGATCGCGTATCGCGGCTGCAATGGAGCGCTGCCAGTGCGTGCATGCAAAAAAAGGAAAATAAATAAATCAGAAATATGCAGTTCAAATAAATCGACAGTTCGATCGAAGAGATCAAATAATTCCACACATGCAATTCATTTCAGAACAAGATTATAGAGCGAAGCTAGTCATGTGTCAAGCTACCTTACTACAAATACTTACTATACCTAGAACTTAGCTATGGGCAGCGGACCTGGACCCTATCGCTCCTGGGATATACCTTAGGTAAGAGTGCGACGTAAAGACAAATTGTAAATACTGTAAATTCAAATTGCACTCGTAACATGTATTCAAATATTGACAGTCCGACATTCGCACATATTGCGACAGCATCCTGCAGGATGACGTTCGACACAAGCTGCTGGCAATGAAGGATCTAACCCTGGCAACCTGCGTCGACTTATGTCGCGCCGAGGAGGCTGCCAGTCAAACCTCGTCACGTATCCCCAGCCAGGCCACTGGAGACGCGTCCGTGAGTGCCGTTCGTTCCAGCTATAAGAAGCAGAAAGGAATGGCATCCAAGCAAGCTCGAGCACCCGCAGCCAAGGATTCCAAGTCTGGCAGCAAGCCCTCGCCGGACAAGTGTCCCAACTGTGGCCGCACCGCTCATAGCAAGCGACCCTGCCCTGCTGCGGATCGCAAATGCAACGGCTGCCAACGCACCGGTCACTTCTTATCCATGTGTCCGTCTGCTTCTAAGAGGACCGTCGGTCAGCTGAAGCTGCAACGTGCTGCGTCCTCCCGTGAAGGGGCTACCCTAGCCGTCAACACGCAGCTCGTGTCTGCCGACAAGCCAACCAGTTTGCGCTGGCTTCCTGACACCGGCAGCGACATCAACGCTATTGGCCCTGCACACCTCGAGCTCCTCGGAGACTTTATTGAGAATCTGCCTACCGACAAGGATGTTGTGCGCACCGCTGATGGCGCACCCTTCACCAGTCTTGGCAAGATCCAGGCGACCTTAAAGCTCGATTCCGTCACACACGACACCACACTGCACGTGTACAAAGGCCTGGATGAGGCACTGCTATCCCGCCAAAGCCTCTGTGCCTTGAATCTGTTGCCTGCTTCTTGGCCCTCCGTGTTTGTCCGTTCTGCCCGTACTGAACCCAACACTGCCCAGCAGCTCCAACAGCAGCTTCTGGAAGAGTTTGCCGACGTTTTCGACAGCTCACAGCTTCCACCAATGGATGGTCCGCCCATGGACATTCAGTTGGAACCAGGTGCAGAACCCAGCTGCGTCCGCACTGCTCGCACCATACCGTTTGCCTACCGGGATCAGATAAAGTCCCAACTGGACAGTATGGTCGATGATCGCATTATCGAGCCAGTCACAGAACCCTCTGCGTGGTGCCATCCGATCGTTCTCGTTGAGAAGAAGGGCACTACTGAGATGCGACTGACTGTGGACCTTCGAAAGCTGAATGATCAGGTACGCAGACCCACCCATCCTGCTCGTACACCACATGACGCAGTGGCAGCCATCGGCAAAGCCCGCTACTTCACGAAGCTCGACGCCCGACATGGCTATTGGCAAGTCCCGCTGTCTGACGATGCCAAGCCGCTCACCACCTGTATCACACCGTGGGGGCGGTACCAGTTTCTTCACAACAGTTGCAGCACTAGTGCTGGGTTTTCATGATGCTACATACATGTCCAGCGTCTCATGGCCAGCAATCCAGGACATCTGAGAGTTGAAATTTTGTACTCCTCCGAGGTGTGATTTTTGGCGTGCTGGGCCAAGTACAAGGAAGCCATCTGCCAAAAAAAACGGAAGAAAATGGTTCTTGTTTGATCCTTTGGTGTAATCTTTGTAGCTAGTCGAAGCTAGTTGCTGTTTGGAGCAGAAATGCTGAAAATGACTATTTTCTGCATGTACTCGTGCATGTACTGATGTACTCAGGCATGCAGTCTCACTCGTATTTTAGCTCTTTTTCTGGAATGGATGCTGCTCTGCGCCCCTTGGTGAACATTCCCTGCGCTCGTGGAGCAGCTAAAAAAGACCACTGGTATGTCTGGTTCCTGGTTTGAAAGTCGAGAGTCCACTTTTGCGCCTTGAAAAAGGAGTAGAGAGCGATAAAGGTACGTCTGTAGCTTATTTTTGAGTGCTCTTCGTACATTTTTGATCGTGATAGAAAATTCCCAGACCAAAGTCAGCGCAAAGATGGCCGTACAGTTTTCTTGTGGATGTTTTAGTTGTTTCGTTTTGTATCTATGTCAGTATCGTGATGGTGAAGTGGAGAGGGTGATATTCTTCCTCTAGGCTTCGTTCGGCCGACTTTGCTTCGTCCTCGTTGAAAAGTGATGCTGAAAAAAGGTCGATTCGCAAAATTATGTTGATTTTCAATGTACGTGATGACATGCAATTGCTGGCTACGGTAAAATTAATGATGTAGAGTGAAATACTTGAACAAATACGGCAATTTTCTAGACCCGATAGGACATGTGTGTGCGTGTGTGGGGAGGGGTGCGTGTGTGGGCACGGGTGCGTGTGTGTGCGTGCGTGCATGTGTGCGTGTGTGCATGTGTGTGTGTGTGTGTGCGTGTGTGTGTGTGTGTGCGCGCGTACGTTTGAGTCCGTGTGTGTGTGTGTGTGTGTGTGTGTGTGTGTGTGTGTGTGTGCGGGGTGCGTCTGGTCAGGACTGTGTGTCCGCTGCTGCTGCTGCTACTGTCAGCACTCTTGGTCACAGTAGCAAGACGCCGGTTTCTACAAGTGCAACTTACCATCAACCCAGCGGACGCCCGTTCTCGGGCCACCCCTTGTCACAAGTATGTCATATAATCCAATCCACAGGCGAAGATCAGTACTCTTTGTCTGAATATTATTCATCTCCTGTGTCAGAAACGCACTTTCTGTTTCATCGTTGATCACAACAAGAGACGATCCATTTTTGGACCGGCAATGATTGATGGCCGCTTCAAAAGTAGTCTTCGGGGCATTTTTCTCAAAATAGTAGCAGCTGTAGCCCTTCTGCAGCCAGCCAGTGGGGCATTTGAATCCAGTGTCTACATGCAAAGGAGAGAGATTGAAGAAGCATGGGGGGGGGGGGGGTTGGGAGCATTTCCAGAGAAACAAAGTCAAACAATTGTTCTGAAAATATAAGCAAATGTCTACAGACATGGAAACACAACCGCCGGTAAACCAACTTTGCAAGACTGCTAGCTGGAGTGCATAATAAGAGTCTGCAAATCCCCAGCTACCTGGTGCATAGTTATGGTCCACTGCGGCATTGTTGTTGTGTGGACGTCGCCTTTTGGAGAACCTGTGACATGGCATGTCGTCCAAAGCACAAGCAACGCATGCTCTGGAAGACGATTTTTTCATGCCTCTCGGGGTTTTTTTGCCGCTTCCAAAATAAATTGTTTAACTTTTCCTCCCATGTCTCAGTACGGTAGCTTGTAACCGTATTCGTAGTGGACGCTTTTAGGGCGCGTTTGATTGGTCGGATCCGGAACAGGAGCGTTTAGAACAGGAGCGTTTGATTGGTCTGCACTGGTGCGCTCTGGTTTTGGAGTGTTCAGAACATGTTCTGACCACTCCGACCCCCGAGGCTGGAGCATCCAGAGCATGTTGCAAAGCCCAATGACAACCTGACAGGACTACGCAATGAGTTTCTCTTTTTTTTTTTATTCGAATGGATTTTGGCATGTCAGTGATTACGAAAGGGAGTGGAGATGTACATCGAGGTCTACGTGTGATTTTGCACATTACACGGCGGTCCCTACGTCCATGATTGTTTTTTTGGCTGTCTTCGGGGCTTCTCCGGTTGTAGTTGCCTTTCAAGTTTGTTTTGCCTTCGCATCTTGAGCAACGTAAAAACCTTTGAACTCTGTGGAAATTTTGAAGTCCGCGGCACGATGAGCTATCATGAGTTCTACAATATTTCTGGCAAAAATATGATCTGTTCTGTTTCTGTTTGATTGGGAACTGTTGTTCTGACTGCTCAAGTGAATCTGATCTGAATCCGGATTCACCAATCAAACATGCCCCTAGTGAACCTGGCCTAGCTAAGACTCACAATGCATGCCTAGTACAGTATGCCTCAAATCTCCAGAGGAGGTGAAACCAACCAAAGATTCCATCGTGGAATAAACCATTCGTAGTGTAGGAGTTGCATTTTAATAGAAAGTATATTTTTCGCAGTAAAAGAGTATTTATTTGTAGAGCTTCTGTTAGTACAGATTCCTAGGTTCAAACCCCAAGATGGGCAGTTAGGCCATGGTAAAAAATAAAGTTGATTCTCAGGTCATGAGCCTGTGAAAATCGGTGCGAGCGAGCGATTTTTTATTTTAATTCCCACAATTTTTTATTTCCAAAGATAGGGTAACACATATGTACGTCACAGAATCATAATTAATTTAAAATTATTTTATTATTCAGGCCAGGGAGTAGAAAAATACCGGTATTTTACTAGTCCATCTCGACGAGTTCTACTCAGCGCTCGGAGATTGCCTGGGTTCAGTAAGGTCCAGTTCGCTCGTTCTCGTCGCTGGCGACTTCAATGCCAAACTCGGCCAGAGGGATGACTCAGGCGGCTCGTGCACCGGACGATATGGTCGTGGACGTCGTAACTACAGCGGAGCTATGCTAGCGGATTTCTGCGAGTCGTTTGATCTCTTTGCATGTAACACTGCCTTTCAACATCCAGCTAGGCATCTGACAACCTGGACAGGTTGGAGGCACAACCCAAACGGCGGTTGCTCTATCCCTATATACAATCAAATAGATTTCATCTTGAGTAGCAGCAACCAGAAGCAGATTTTCACAGATGCCCGATCCTATGCTGGGACACTGGTGAAATCAGACCATCGGCTCGTTGTCGCACGCGCCCGTCTGAGCAGGATCTATGGTCTGTGGGCACATAACAACAACAAAAAAAGAACCGCGAAAGCTCAGAAGTTTCAGGTTCATAGATTGAGCGAGCACACCTGCCGTCAAAACTTCCAGTCCCAACTCACCCATCGGATCGCCAACGGCGCAGTAGACACATCCACACCGGAAGCACACTGGACATCGATCTCGTCTTTCATCCAGCAAACGGCAAAGAATACCATTGGACTGGCACAGCCCCCAAAGAAGCAACAGCGTTTCATGGATGATCAGCTACATTCCTGGTCAGAAGAGAAAAAACGGTTACGACTGCTGATAACTACAAGTAGGGATCCACGGCAAGTGACTGATCTGAAGCATCGGCGGAACACCCTCTCACACCGAATCCGGCTGCGAGCAAAGGAACTAGCATCGAATGAGCTGGACGCTCGGGCGAGGGAAGTAGAAGCAAAGAAGGATACAGCACAGATGTTTCATGCAGTCCATCTACTCCAGCGACAAAAACAACAGCCTATCACTGTGCATGATGAAGCGGGTAGACAAGTAATACAGCCAGTCTCGGTAGCCATCCAAATCACCGACCACTTTTCTAAGCTGTACACACCGGAGCCTGGTGCACTGTTGCTGCGGCGACCAGGCCTTGCCGACCAGGATTGCGCTATTCAGTACCGCCGGCTTGAGCGGCCCATTTCTGAGGCAGAGGTGACACAGGCAGCTGGAAAGTTGAACAATGGCAGGTCAAGTGGCCCAGATAACATGCCAGGGGAGCTGCTAAAGTACTCACCTGCCCTCGTCTACTCCAATATCGCCCAGGTCCTCAACTCTGCCGTCGAGACAGGCCTGCCCCTGAACAGCATCGGTAGTGGGTCGCTTATTCCGTTACAAAAGCCTGGCAAATCAAGGGGACCAGTCGCTCACCTACGGCCCGTGGTTTTACTCACAGCGCTCAGGAAGATTCTATCATTGATTGTGCTGCGGAGGATCAACAAGGACGTCAACAACTTCGTTGCACACACACAGAGTGGTTTCCGCCCCAGCAGAAGCACCACAGATGTTGTGTGGTCATACCGATGGTTGGCGGCTCGATGCCAACGCTATCGCTGTGCGCTGGATATCCTAGGCATTGATATGTCAAAAGCGTTTGACTGTATAAGCAGGCCACGGCTCATCTCGGTGCTGGGATCGTTCTTGCAGCCGGATGAAATCCGAATGATCAGTTACCTCCTCCAGGACACCGTACTGCGGGTTGTACTCCCATCCGCTAAGGGCCCGTCATTCCCCACTCTCCGCGGCACACCCCAAGGTGACTCGTTGTCTCCTGTTCTTTTCATTGTGTACCTTGAGGGTGCGCTGCGTGATGTCCGGCCTCTTCTTCTACCACGTCCCCCTGCCGATATCTCCCTGGGGTTACCAACTGAAACTGCCTACGCCGACGATGTGGATTTCGTGACTACTGATGGTGAGAGGCTGAGGACCCTCCTTCCAACCATATCCAACAAGCTCCTCGAATGGGATTTGAAAGTGAATGAGACCAAAACAGAGCACACGCACATCGAACGGCACACTGATCGCATCGAGGAGGAGTGGCGAACCACCAAGAAACTCGGGTCCCTATTAGGTGATGCCGAGGATATGCTACGGCGACAGCAACTGGCAACTGTTGCCTTTGGTAAACTCTGGACGCTGTGGATCCGTAGGTCGCTAGTTTCGGAGGATCTCCGCATCCGGCTCTATAATGCCTTTGTACTCCCTGTACTCTGCTACAATTGTGCAACATGGGCACCAACGAAACAGCAGCTGAGCCGTATTGAGGCCTTCCACCGAAAACAGCTGCGGGCGCTAATCGGCATTGTGTTCCCGAATCGGATTAGGAACGAGAGGCTCTATGAGCGTACCGGCGCGGTTCCTCTCCGCATTATCATCTTGAGAGCTAGGTGGAGGCTCTTTGGGCACGTCCTCCGGCTCCCGGCTGACTCCCCACCATCCCTGGCCATGGGAGCGTACTTCGCAGAGCCTCGTCCAGCGGGCTGGAGGGGACGACCAAGACACACACTACCGACGCTACTACAAGATGATGCCAAGCGGATTGGACTTTCCTTGTCAAGCAAAGTCGATCTGGAGGCGTTCCGTGCCCTTGCTGCTGACCGAAGCGGTTGGGTGGGCATCTGTGCCCGAGTGGTGTCGGCACCCTAGTTTTTGTCTTCTTTTCGCATATTTCTTCTTTTTTTTGAAACTGTTATGGTCTTTTGTATCTATTCGAAGTGGCTTATGCGAACATTTTTGGCTGGTTTGCATGATTCGCATGCCCATTAATGCAGCTGCAGGCCATGCTGATGTCTACGCGAACAAGCACATAATAATAATAATAATAATTTTACTACTCCCGGATTCATGCCTTTCGCATTGACCGTTTTCATGCACGCATATGCATGCATAGAAATAAAAAAAATCGTCGATGCGCCACCAAAAATCGATGCGCGCATACTTGAGAATCAAAGATATTTTTTACCATGGCCCTAGTTACATTTTTTCTCTCCTTGCGTATTTTGTATCTGCATGTTATTAATCTTTCCGTGAGTCGCTCGTGAGTAATGTATGAGTCGTGTATGGCTAAACCCGTATTTACCCGTATGACTGCTGCTAGTGTTATTGTTCTAGAACATTAGCATAATTAACCAATCACAGTTCACAGCTCTGGAATATTCTAGAATTTCGTCGGCGACCGGTTTATATAGATTGCTCATTGGTTGATGAACTAAAGAACATGGCTGCCGTTCGCCGTGTGTTTTGTCTTCTTGCATTGTTCTTTTCTTGTGCTTTTTCACTTCTTATCTTTACTTGCCGAGTGTGCAACTAATAATTCTGTCCTAACGAGTATTCGTGAAACCACAAAGTGAGTGCTTTGTTTGAGTGTGTGAAATTGTCTCCGAGGGCCAGCTACTGCATTGGCGGCAGCGGTGGGATTCGAACCCACGCCTCCGGAGAGACTGGAGAGGGCCACCTATTACAGCAGTTGCACTCTGGGTTATGTACTCTTGGTTGGTGCTAGAGTAGGGTGAAAGCCACCGAAAACAAACCGGGGGCAGGCACTTACGCAGTGGGGTTTCACGTTGCCCGGAACCCCCCCCCCCCCCCTAACTAAATGTTCCAGAGGAGCTACGTTTTGGGCATTTTTTGGGAGGGCGCACGATTGATCTGACGAGAATGCAAAACTTGAACAGATCTTAACTCAGTCAAATCTCGCGCAAATCCAACAATCTAAATATCCAGATCGAATAGAAAACTTTCAGCTGTCGGTAGAAACAATTCGCGAAGTACTGTGAGCAACGTTTCCTGAGAAGTATCATTCGTTGAGCGACGATGTCAGCAATTTCCAAAGCGCGCAGTGTGACTTGAGTATCGAGAATTTGAGACTTTTCGTCATGTTGACTTGCTCAAATTTGCAGGGGCTTCACTTGTGATATTCTCACGAGTACACAGCAAAAAAAATCGAAACTCTGCAATCTAGAACAACGATATCGCTGGAGCAGGACGCATTTGGGCCTTTTCGCAGCGTCACTGCACTATAGTGCTGGATATACAGGTACAGTTTCCTGGCTATCATGGTCGACCTCATTCCCTTCCTCTCCCGGATACCTTTCCACGTCCAGAAAGCCCAAGATTATTAAGATTGAGTGAGTAGAACTGAAGTTATAGTCCAAGGAACACGAAAAACGCATAATTTGGAAACCCCCTAGAGGTGACCCTGCGTACGCGCGGGGGGGGGGGGGGGGGAGTGAAGTAGAATAGTTCGCCTCTCTCTCTCCACAAGTATTTGATACCATACTGCACGTTTATTTATTGCTTCAAGTTATAGATTTTGAATTTGTACGTCGTGTTCTTCGTTTTGAGACTTTGCTTACCGTTCTGTTCTGTTATCCATATTCTGCATTCTCCGCGCCTGCTCTGTTCCTTTCTTCTCTTGCTATTATCATGTTTCCTTTCTTCTCTGACTCACTGACTGTCAACTTGTCTAGTTTCGAATTGTTTCATTGTCCGCCAGATCGCAGAGATCGTTTCCTGCATCGTAGCTCACGGTTACTTTTCGAACACATTTTTGCGTAGGCATTTTCACGAGTTATGTTGACGTCATGCGCTTTCAGCTACGCGTCATTATTGCGAGCATGCGCATTGCTTTTGCCTTCTGCCTTATTTGCATGCTGCGCTTGCTGCAAAGCTTAGCGTCCCCACGCTTGCTGGCCGAAGCCCCATTGACCGCGCCGCGTGCGTACTCGCACACGTCAGCCGGGCTTCTCCACGTCGCCTTGCCCCGCCCCCGCCGGTTCCGTGGAGTTCCGGTTTTATTTCTCCTTGTTGATTAGCTCTCCCAAGATTGAGTTGTTGTTTTCTATATCCTTACCTAACTAATTCATTTCCAAGTATCAGTCCTTTTATTTACACTACTGTCAGAGTCCGCCGTTGTGAGTGCTGTGTGCATGTGCGGAGTAGTAGTGGTGAATAATTGTTGTGCGTGCGTTACACAACAGGAGGGAGGGGCGCACATTGCACAACTACGCATTCTTGCCGGATGTGGCACTACAGAGGTGGCATAAGGCCACACGTTTTTATTTCTATGTTTCTCTTCACCTGAAAATCTAAAAACGTATGCGAGAGGTGGAAAAATAAAAAAATGACCGAAAAATATAAAAAAGTTTATTAGACCTTTGTTCACACTAAAATCCACCAATAGACCATGCAAAATAGCATCCATAGTTAGCAACTAGTATGTGGTAGGATCTTCTGTCACAATCTGTGCATGTGCAGTTAGATTGCGCACAAAAAATGGTGATCTCGCATCATGTGTCGCGCAGGCCAGGCCACATTATGTACATGTGCATGAGTGTGCTGGTCCCCACATGCACAGTCAGTGCAGCACATTTTTTTTCTTTTTTTCCTCCAGACTCCTGAATCGTATGCGCGCGGGTGACGAGAAACATAGAAATAAAAACGTGTGCCCTAATACTGAAGTGATGCATGTTTTTCACGCACAGCAGAGCTGGTTTTGATGGACACCTGATAGCTGGAGACAATTTGGATTTGACGCCACTTTCCAGGCTGGGGATTCAAATTTCCAACATTAGAACACAATTTTAGGAACTTAGAGGCCACATGCCACGTACTGCTCTTTTCTCTCCTTGAAATTGCAATTAGAACAAAATGTCATTTTTACAATAGGGAAAGTCCCTTGGAGATATGCAAGTCCTGAGTGTTACTGCAGCTTCCAGCAGCTTTTAGTACACTTTCTTCGTGACAGTTACTCGGAAGATAAAATTCCCAGCCCAAAACTGTCACAGTGAGCTAGTAACAGTTAGAGAGAGAGAGAGAGTTATATTGACTCGCTTGTTTTACGCAAACGAATCAATGGGCCAGGTTTGGGTGAGAGTTTTGTGCAGATACTGGCCGTAGATTGGATCCGTTTACACGAGTCAGGGCTTTTTGATTCGCGAGCCCAGAGATTGCTCTGCTGTAAATAGGGATAGACTATGCATCTGTGTACCGCTGTATCACAAAATTCTCAATCGATGCAGAGAGGGTTCGCCGGACCAGCTCCCTAGACACCCCCAAATACGGGATAATAGGTAACGCAAATTGCCCACGCTCAACGTTCAAAGCTTGTGTAGACGTAAAACAGCAAAGCGAGCTTGGGTGTGTGTGTGGGGGGGGGGGGGGTGAGTCCTGTCGTGAGCACCAAGCAATTGCGCATCAGTGCATTGCATGCAAACGCGCCCGTGGCGCAGCGCAATGATATTCACTGTTGTTTTTGTTGCAGCTCGCAGGCCAATAACCCTTTAGCACCGATAGGACGGATTAATCCGCCAGACTATACATTCCATGGTGAAACGACTTCAAACTTTCTGTCAATCATTGTCCGAATTCAATGATTACAAGGTCTATTTGTATCAGATAGGCCCCAGCTGTGGGCTGGAAAAAAGACCCGAAGACGATGTAAGGTTGTGGGGCGAGTTATGACACGCGAGCGAAATTTGCTTACACAAGTCAGCTTGCGCCGGCGTAAATTTGAAGTACACGCTAGGGGTTTTCCCTGACTCGCTCCCAACGCATTCACACATGACACACATCATATTGCAGCTGCATTTTTCAGCTCTCTCCTGCGAAAACTTTGACCGCTCTAGGATCGAAATAGTTGAAATGGCTGAGAATTTTGTGCAGCGCTCGTAGCATTGGAGCGCTTGCATCATGCTGCGGTGTTACCCCTACAACTCTGTCAATTGCGAACTGGGTATGACTGCGCTCGTCTTGCTGAGCGCTTTCCATAAAGCCCAAGATTTTTAGAAACCTCTGAAGGCTATCAAAATCACAGGCAGATGAAAATGTGAGTTTGTGCATATCATGCGTCGGCTGAAATAATTTAGCCTGTAAAGTTGGCCAGTGAGTTCGCCCGTGTACATAACTAAACCTCCGATATATTGAACTCGGATTGCGAGCCAATTTAAATATGGAAAAAGGAGAGGGGCAAAAGATGAACCTTCTGAGTTGGAAGGTTGTTTGTTTGCGTCCCGGAGAGGTGTTGGAGCTAGGTGCCAGGCCGGTGAATGTCGCGGTACACCGTGCCAGTGTTGTGCCATTCTGTCGCACTCGCTGACTGTATATGATCGTAACATTTTTTTTGCATTTCTCCTTTTATACTTCTGAACCGTTTGCATGTGGATGACGTGTATACATGCTCCTGAACTCTGTCTCTGCAGTTTGAATCGTGAAAATCAGTTGAGTTTGAGCAAGGAGCCGACAAAGAATGTGTGACTGAGTTGTTGTTCCATTCCGAGGCATCGTGGGCCAGTTGGGAGAGGTCGTGGAAGTGGCCCTGGTGGGGCTGGGGAGACGAGAACTTTCATGATGGGTTCGATTGGTCCTGATCTTTCCAACAAGCCCAGGATGATGAAATTCCATCCTGGGGCACTGAAATGAGCATAAAATCGTTCGGAGCAGTGCGCCCAAACTCCACGATGAGAGTCCGTGCGCCGGAGTGCCAGATTACTGGGGGAAACAGGCCAGCATGCAAAGGGTTAGCATGTCATCATTATTTGCTTACCGATACAAGTAGGGCTTGTCAGACGTTTTGGAGTTGCTACACAAAACAAACAGAATACAGTAGAAGGCAAAAATGGACTGTGTCCAGGCAGCTACATGTATACAAATGTGCGTCAGGGGCAAAGTGAGTTGAAACGGATGGGTAGGGGAGGTGTGTGTAGGGGGGGGGGGGGGGATCCGGCTTATTTTTGGCGTGTGTGCGTGTGTGTGTGTGTGTGTGTGTGTGTGTGTGTGTGTGTGTGTGTGTGTGCATGTGCGTGTGTGTGTGTGTGTGTGTGTGTGCGTGTGCGTGTTCGTGTGCGCGTGCGTGTGCGTGCGTGTAGGACCATCATCACGCGAGACACGTCTGGCCAACATATTTAAATAGAGCTTTCAACACCAGAATCATAACGTTAAACAACTTGGTAGGATGTGTATATATGCGAAGTGCGCTCAGGGAATACATGCAGGGCGATAGTGCGTTTGAATCCTAAGTTCTTTGTTGATAAATATCATAAAAATGACAAAATTAAAAAAATCATAAGCTAGCACCATAGTGTTGTAATATAACTACTTGGTAGAATGTACCTATCTGGGAGTCAGAGTTTTGAGATTTCCACATGTCTCTATGTGCTTTTATTAGGGCTAAAACGATAATACCGATTACTCGGTAAGGCCCCTTGCATACTACATACATGTAAAACGCAACCAACTTGCGAATACGCCCTGTTCAAGTGCAGTTGCGCACTGACAAGGGATCTGCTTTTTACGTGTTCTTTGCCTGATGAAAATGACTTAAAATTCAAAAGGTACTGTACGGAAAATGCTCTTCTCAGAACGAGTGCTTTCTGTTTGTCGTCTTTTACTTCGTTCTGCGTCGTTCATGTTGTACACATGCCCATGAACCTCAGGTTGACTCCGGCAAGGAGATGATGGTGGCGACGTAGAATTGTTGCCGCCATGATCACTGATGTTGCAGGTCCTCCAGAAGCTACTGAAATCGTCCAATGGCGATCTATTTCCTGTTCTCGACATTTGAAAGTCTCAAGACGATTGATCACAGATGATCTTAGTTTCAAGCTGAAAGCAATGTTCGCCAGGCCGTTGTGGAACTGTACTGTGAAAAACAGCTGTGGATCACTCTGCATCATGTCACACTCGGCAAAGGAGAACTACAGTGCAGTCTACTACGGCCAAAACAAAAAAAGAGTTCAAGCTCAGAAGTACCCAAAGATTCCAATGAAAAGCTGAAGCAGGCAACAGGACACCGGCAGACATCCGCAAAGCCCCAAAACAGCAAAAAGTTAATTAAAAAATTGAACAACGAAATAAAAAAAAGTTGCTACAGATGTGTGTCCGAAAGCGGCAGGAAACCATAAAAGCTAAAAACCAACATTGTGTACCCGTCCACGATCTGCTGAATGTGTGTGCACTACTTTATAGTTTTTACATGTTCCATCATGTGACGTCAGTTGACATGACAACTTTTAGAGGAGCACAATAAATAAGCGGTTGTCTGCGTAGTGTGCAGGGGGCCTAATTTCTCTTTAAAAAAAGTATGGAACGAGTATTTTAGTTGCCATCAGCTGAGGGGCCATCCGTAAATACAGTTATTCCCGTAGCTATGCAAAAGACGTTCAATGATTTCAGTAACGTCTGGCGCTAGCCAGGGTCCACACAGCTTTAATTCCGTGTGTGAGTGTGTGTTTATGTGTTTGTGCCATCGGCATGCCTGGCGCTATCCCGTATCTGTCCCGTACAGTACCATCAAAGAGACAGCTGGCGCCATGGCCACAATATAAAAATAGGGCTTTCAAATGCAAGATCATAACGTGAAGAAACTTGGAAGAATGAGTATGTATGCGAAGTGTATGGGGGGATGCATGCAGGGATATAAAGCAACTGGCCCTGACTCTGTCCCCTCTCGGGTGCTTAAGATGTGTGCAAATTCTCTTGCACGCCCGCTCGCTCATCTGTTCTCTCTCTGCTTCCGACAAGGCCACCAGCCATCTGCCTGGAAGGTGGCAAACGTTGTCCCGGTCCACAAGAAGGGCTCAAGATCTTCTGTGAAGAATTACCGTCCAATATCCCTTCTCTCCATTATCTCCAAATGTATGGAACCATAATCAACCGGAGCATTACACACTTTCTCGACAGCAACTCTATTCTTTCTGCTTGCCAATTTGGCTTCCGCTCTGGACTTGGCGCAACCGACCTCCTCCTAGCTCTTCAACACGAATGGAGCCGAGTTGCCAACAGTGGAGGACTTGTGCGCGTCCTGGCAGTGGATATTGCTGAGGCGTTTGACAAAGTGTCGCACCGGGTGTCCTGTACAAAGCTGAGCGGTTGGGCTCCAGGGACATCTTCTTGCCTGGCTCAGAAGCTACCTCACCAACCGCATGCTCCAGGCTGTAGTGAGCGGACAGTCCTCCTCTGCTTACCCCATCATGTCAGGCGTCCCCCAGGGTAGCATCTTGGGCCGTCCCAACGCCTACCCTACCTGTACGAGCTGTAGCAGTGCTACATCATGTATATGTACATGTAAACGCGCGGTGTGGTTTGTGTGCACTCCAAGATGTATTTTTTAGAAACGCCTTGCAGGCGAACCCACCCACCCACCTGTTAGACGTCTCTAAGTAAATACATGCATTTACGTATGGCCCCTTAGCGGCTTGAAAAAGTAAAAATTTTGACTACGAGAGGTAATATTTCTACTCTGCATGCATTATTGGTTCGCGTATGCCAGTTGTAATGCAATTGCATGATTTGCAGTTCATCATAAAGTAATCACTCTTTTCCTTCGATCTTGTTCTAATTCTCTAAACTTACTGATGTTTTCACATCGTAGTTGTTTGAAAGAGTCAAAAAATTTAGTTATCATATGTTCACTGGCTTTAAATCGCTGGTCAGATCATGATCATGTGATCTGATCATGTGATCTGATCATGTGATCTGATCATGTGATCTGATCATGTGATCTGATCATGTGATCTGATCATGTGATCTGATCATGTGATCTGATCATGTGATCTGATCATGTGATCTGATCATGTGATCTGATCATGTGATCTGATCATGCTGTGCGCCATTTTTGCTATGGTTCTTTGATGCATAGTGAGGGCATGAACCTCGCGGCCTACAGGCTGGCTTTTTCTGGATCTTCTTTACTCTCCTTTTAGTCTAATTCCTGCAAACAAGCCGTATTTGGCGGCTGGAGCATGTGGTCGTGAAGGATCGAGGGAGCCTGCAGACAACATTGTAGTGCTCTAGGGTCCGACCTAAGGAATTCGATAACACAGTTCACATGATGTCCTGCGCGCGGCATGGAGCTTGCAGTGCGGCTCAACAGTTCATAGAGTTCATGTAGGTAAACCACTCACTGTATTGGCAAGAACAAGGTTTTGCTAGAAACCGCTCACTGTAATTTCCCAATTTTTCGGTGTACTTTTATTTTCGATACTTTCGGTTCATCTGTTTCGTACCTAAAATTTCAATACACCGAACAAACACTAACACACGTAATCCAATAGGGAACTGCTTCTCTGTACCTAAAATGTCTGTTCACCTAACCTGACCTGTTGCCCTCATACTGAAAATATTGAGCACCGAAAAATTCTGAAATTAGAGTACTTGAAATGGGAATGAACATGATGGACTCATGATGGACTCCCCGCTTAAGCGGATCGTTAAGATATAAGCTAAGCCACTAAGGAAATATCACGGTCGTTTCAGACCTAGCTTTTATGTTATTGTGTGTAAGTCGTGTGTATGTGGTGTTGGTGCATGCACGTGTCGCCGTGGTGTGAAAAGCAGTCTTCGTCTTGAATTCGTCGTGTCTAGCTGTGTTTCCGTCAAATAATAGTCTTTCAAATGTAGTCGTCGTCGTCCATTGTATAAGTGTGGATATGTCGCGGGCTGGAAGCAGGTGAAGAAAGTAACATACAACACTATCGTGCCAAATCGTCGACAGCATTGACAGGTCGTTGTCACCAAGAGCCTGGACGACCAG